TTTTTTTCACCACAGAATGCGCATATTCCACTGTGATATTAGAAGACGCTGACCGCGAGAGCTGTTCTTTTAAGACCGGAGTGCTGATGCCAGCAGCCCCAACTGAAAGATGTACAGTTTGCTTGAATATTCATTATTTCAAAGTAAGTAGTGGTCTTCGTCAACCAACCCTGAAATGCTTGCGTCTACAGCATGACTGCTCGCCGCTTGATCTGGGCGCTGCGACTCGTCCTCAATACGATACAACTCCACAAAACTAAAAAGAGACATATTTTTTTTAAACTGGAAGTTAACCCACAGCATATTTTAAGAATGTATTTAAAGAAACTCACTTTGAAAGAAAAAAAAATCGATAGGGTTCATCCAGATGTGGACAATCCTAAAAGGTGGCGTGTGAGGTGGTCCGCCTTCTACCAGTTAAACGTAGTGATGCACTACGGCTGACAATCAGGTTCACCGCACCTCAAATCCTCTAGACGCCTACCATTCTCTAATTCGCCTCCAAGCAGAGAACCCAAACGCATCAACCCTCCGCCCAGTCGTTCCTGGCGAGCAAGTACTCGCGGAATAAGCGCGCCACCGCCTTCTTCCTGGACTAGCTGCTGCGTGCACGGGACCGTGGACACTTCGATGGCAAACGCTCGGACCTTGACGCATTCGATGCCGTCGTGGCGGATATCGCTCAGGACCCCACGACGCTTAAACCCAAGCTGCTGCAGGACCTCCCCAAGGCGCTTGGAGCTTGTCAATGTGCCATCACACTACGCCAACACGTCGCTCTGTTCTTCGCCGACCAGGACCGCGGTCACCAGCACTTCCTCACACTACTACGACGCTGGCTCGACACCTTGAAGTACATTGAAGTGGCGCAGGGACATCCTATTGAGGAAGAGCTGCGGAGATTTGAGAACTGTTATCAAGTTCTAGAGGTAGATGAGGACTATTTGCCGGACGAAGAGACCTTCATCAAAGATAAAGGGGCAACCAACAAGTCCAAAGCCGAGAGGAAGAAACTATTCGATGAAGCCTTCGCCCAAGATCTGCAGATGGAAGTGGTGTGCTACTTTATGGAGTTGGAGGAGCTGGTCGAAGGCGTGTTCAGTGTCTACGACCAGGTGAAAAACCAGGAGAAACCCGTGATGGAAGCCACCGTCGTGGCGACGCTGGCTCTGCGCATGGCCAACCAATTGACAGCCACGCTCCAATTACGCTACCCAACGTTGAAACTGGCCGAGGATTTGATCGGAGTACTGGTGTGTTACCCGTCGGCAGGTCTTGCAGCTCGAATCACTAAGGCAGTCAAGGAGAGACGAGCGAGTTTCGAGGAAACCGGAACGTTCGAGTTCGTCCCAGGGACACTACTGCACGACTTCACAAGTGTATGGATGATTTTAACCAATCTCGCCCCACTGTTCCCACCGATAGAAGAATGTCGAGTCATTGCTCTCCCGGATGGGTTTTTCGGACCAATTACGGGGAGGAGCGAACACCGGAGTATGTTCTTCCAGATGTCACCCATTGCGTCGTTCTACTTGCTCAGCAACTACCATTTCTATACACTATGACAGTCAGGAAGATCGCAGCTATGAAACGTGAGATTGAAGGACGAACTGGTCTGGTCGTGGACTTCTTGCTGGCGTTGGAAGACTACTTCGTCACCCGAAAAGTGACCATCCAATTGGTGTTCCTGTGTATTGCTGGATGCAGTCGGTCACTGCACTGCAAGGTAACGCTGGACTTAGTCGAAGTATCGCCCTTACAGTGAAGCATACGGAGGACTTGATGCAGGTCCTTGAAGCCACGATACCCAGACGCTCCACTGCAGAGAAAGGAGACTCTGTACACGCCATGATGAGCGAGCTTTTGTTCGGATTCCGTTAGTGGCAGACTCAGAATGACATCACACGAGCCAACCCGCTGGTTGCATGTTCTCAGATGATGCCGAATCACTTGGATGTATGGTCTGTTGGAAGTAGCCACCTCCCCCCGACGTGTCGCGGTTTCTGCCAGCTCTACAATGCACTAGTCCAACAAGGATTTATGGAGAATATTCCGTTCTTCGACGATATGTTGGAGATCTACGAGGAAAAGATCTTCACTCCTTCATCTCGAGCCACAACGACTCGTGGCTCGTACAATAAGGTCTACTTGATGTCTTTGAACTGGTCTGGAAGCTCCATCGATGCGACGTACGAAAGCGC